AATATCTTTAATAAATAAAAATGAGTACATATAGATAAGTTTAAATGAAGTTATGAAGTAGTGAAATAAACTTGCTTGTGTTAGTGATCCTTAGGCATAAAGAATTGCACATGAAGAAGTTTTATTAATGGGTCCTAAAAAATAAATAACAACATATAGTATTTGAGATCCAGCAATTCGTTCATATGGGTCTATAATACTATTATTACTATGGATCTCGGGGATAAATATAAATTATTCTTATTTAATCTGGAGGGTCACATGGTTTATTTTCTGTACCATTATTAAACTTACGCTGTGAAAAACAATTATTGTACGAACGATAATTTACTAAACTCAAATTGTGAGAGCGTTTATATGCATAATATTCAATATATCGATAGAATAACAACACTAAAATTTATAAAATGTAATTTTCTGACGCGAACGACTCGGGAACATTTGTAGCTTTTCCGAGTATTCCGGGAAATTGCGATCTCTGCGCGGAGTGCAAAATATGAGATCTACCCACAGTTCGTTTAAATTGCTCGCTACGTTTTTATAATGTGCCGCTATGTGCCGCACTGTACTATACTTCTATTTATTGTAAGTCGTCAAGTACTGCTTACACTATAGTTTTAAATGGAATTTGTATGAAAATGTAAAGTTTAGTAGGTAAGTTGTCGTTGTTATTTAGGTATAAAACTTATGTGTACATAGAATAAAAAGGAAACCATGTTGTAAATAAGAAATTTTGTTATGTATGTGGCTAATGTCGTCGTTATAATATTATAAATATTACCCATAGTAAGTAGATATATGGACACTTATGGCTCCTACTTACTTACTAATTAGGTAGACAATGTCTGTTATACGTATACTATTACTATAAGTAAAACACACGCTATTGTTTGTTCAATTTCAAAACCATATTTTTAATTAGATTAACTTAGATGCTAGAACTAAAAATCTTTCACTTGCAAAAAAAAAAAAAAATTGTAATAATTAGGTCTACGCCATTAAAATTGAATTTATAATCAAAATGATTTAAATAATTTCATTTTGTTAAAAAAACGTTTTGATACAAATACCTAATACGCGAATAGAAATGCACGGCCGTGTAAGATTGTTTAACATGTCGTGGTATGTTGCTATTAAAAAAGTAAGTATACTAGTACTTTATTTTTCTAAAAAGTAGCCAATAAAAGTCCCGTCAAAATCGGTCCATCCATTTCAGAATAAACAGACACAAAAATTGTAATAATGTTATTTTGATGTATGTACCGTATTTACCTACTATATATTCATATGCATGTAGTAAAAAACGGTTATTTTAATATTACAAACAGACACTCCAATTTTATTTATATGTATAGATAGCTAAGTAAGTGTATACTTGAAATCAAGATTATCTACTAATAATAAGGACATTATAAAGCGCCATTTAGCCTCAAACTAAACAGAAATTCTATTATGGACATTATACAACTAATATGCATACGTAAATATATTTTTAAAATATGTATTGTGTGAATGACAGTATAACTACAGGTTACAGAGGTCGTGAAATTATATTTCAAACATCAAATGGACATAATATATTACAAGCTGATGTCTCTAAACCGTGATCATATTTCACGGCGGGGTCTGTACCCCGGACATTGGTAACAAGTGTCCACGCAATTGCATCCTTGACCGAGTACCGTTCATCGATGAGTGATGGCGAACATGTGCCGCCGGCACCCGCCAACTCATCGCCCGCCTAGCGCGCACAGGGCTGTCTACTAAGTACTACTGATAAAACAGTTTTTCAGTTTCTGGATCAAAAATTAAATAAAACTTGTGGAGCTACTTTTTGCGTCCATCCCTTTGTAAATGCGTTATATTAGTTATTATTATTATTCTACAAATTGCGTTGGCAGATATAATTAAAAAATGGCAACGTATCAGAAATAGTATCGGTAGTTCGGAGTATTACTAATAATTTTGATACGGTTCATGTAAATAAGCGATGGTAGTCACATTTTACTAGCTTATATCATAAGTCATGGAAAAAATGAGTGGGATTCTTTAATCTTATATCTAATTCTTTAATCATCATAAAACAAATGCTTAGTAGACAAATGATAGGCCACACCTATCATTTGTCTACTAAGCATTTGTTTTGTGTTTACTTCTTTATTCTATATTTAAGGTTGAGGTATTTTTGAACTATCAAACTGTTTAAATGCATACTTTTTGACCTATTACGAATTACAGTAGATATATTATCGTTGCTTTATTAATCTACTAAGTGAGTAATTACATTATTTAACATTTTTGAATGATCGTTATTGACAGGTGACAGAAATTGTATTTTAGGACGACACTACTGCTCAAGTACTTTTGTTATAAGATTATATGTATTGGTTTTCAATTGTATGTATAATGTGGTTTCAGGAAAAGTGGACGTTGACAGCCCTAAGTTAAGACAAGGGTTCCCTAAGATAATTATCTTTTTTACAGTACGCGCCCGACTCAGTTTTAATAACGTGATAAATGCCGCGGAAGGCTTGCCGGTGACGCGTAAGGAGGGTTTCCGAACCTTTGATTAATACCTTACTTGTTATGTTATTTTTATTACGTAACAGATGTATTTTATTTTTCACGTAATTTGTTTTTTTCTTTGAGATGATAAAAATGGGGGGTTCATGTTTTAATTTTACGGTGAATTAGTAGCTGGTTGTTTTAACTGATGTAAACAGTAAATAGTTTAAATTGTGACTAATATTAATTCCCGTAGCTTTTTTAACAAAAAAGATACTTCTGACACCGATTCAAAGATATGAGCATAATTGTTGGCGATATGATTCTGTTAGTTTTTTTAAGAACTTCGTTACATACAAATTCGCTACTGATAAAATCAAATCAATCTGGTAATGCTCCGTGTCATAGGTATATAATATAATATAAAAAGACTTCTTTAAAAATATTTACCTTGAAACTACGTTCATAGAACTGCCATTTAATAACTTACCATAGCTGTTCGAACTTCAAATATCTACTACTTATTGATTGTTCCAAACACACGCGTATGAGAAATGAATATATTCGGTGAACAAATTCTGTTTAAACTTTATTAACCCATCATTATACATCATCAAATTGACACAAAGGCCCTCCCACACACTGTTTACGTTTGCAATAGATCAAGTTAAAAAACCCTAATTTAACGGTTAAACAAACGGGGCCCCCTATCAGAAAGGTACACATCTTCGTGAAATATGCTATTATTGGCATTATGACTCAATCGAATGTATGCAGGGTGAGCCTGTCCCAAATTGTTGGTTATAACCCCCTTATGCCGATATGCAGTAGCGATGCTATCTATGTAGACCTCGCTTTATTTAAAAATTGAACAAAGTACTATGGATGAATTGTAAATAAAAAATACGTAAATCATCTTAAAAATTTCAAATGATAATGCAATGGAATTTTGCTTTGCTAGTTAAATAATGGGTTAATATCACATTTAAGAATTTACACTATCTTAACGATTTGATTGATGATAGATATTGAACTGAATTATGTGAATTTGTTCAATAATCGACGTAAATATTACCTACTTGAGTTTGTTATTAAAATTAGATGGTTAAAATACTAGATTGGTATGAAACGAAGGGATTATATCCTTCTTAAGTTCTTCTACAATCTACAATTAGTTGTAATTAATAGATTAGTTTGATGGAATCGTTTTAATTACTTTGATTTATTTATTTTTAGTAATTAACATTGCAGATTGTTTAATCACAATACATATAGGTATATATATTCAGATATATATGATTTATATATATTTGCAGTTTATAATCTTTCCAATTTAGGTAGATATAAATGCATATCAATAAAAGTAAAATTGTCCAATATTATAGAAAGCAAAACTCACCCAGTAGAATAATTAATAATCCTGACACCTCGTATGAAATTAAATTATCACAATGAAATGAATTGCCTTTGGGGAGACGGCAATGACAAATAACTGGTCAGGACGAGCCGGTGAATCTTGACGGAGACTAATGTCGCCATCTATCGTGGACGCCGCGTGTCCAATGACTATGCGATACAGGCATACTTGTATAGATGGCGCTAATGAATATTAAGTTGTACATATTGTATTTTTAAATTTCTGTCTTTATTTATTAAATTCCATTTATTAAATCAACATTTCATTTAAGTGATTTCGTGTGTACATGTTATCAGTCATTTCGTGCTAACTGAATAGTCAATAAGATGTTGAATATCTGCCCCTGGAAAACATTCTTAAGAGTTACTCTAAAGAAATGTAGATGGCGCGCAATATATAATGTTAGTAATATGAATGTGTTCAGTACAAAAAAAATATTAGCTGTAATTGATACGTTTTGTTACAGATAAGTTTAAAACTAAGACTCATATTAAAGTAATCATTATTATAATATTATTAAATCGTTTAGTAAATAATTAAAATCTTTATTTCTTATTTAATTTTTGTTACTTATTTGTTAATGTCATTATGTTATGTTTTTGATAAGATCTAAGTATTTTCATGGATTACATATAAATAGATAGTAATAATTATTACCATAATTTACCTATTCTACGGCAAATATAAGCATATTGAAATCCTAATCATTAAATACCACACGGAACCTTTAAACTCCATTTCCATGAAGTTTAGTACTTCTCATTTAGTTTCATTTATTTATTACATATTATTTATAATGTGAAAAGTACTAAAATTAAAATAAAGAAACATATACGATTATAACGACTTTTATACTAAATGAGATAGTCAGAGGTATTGTTAACTGTCGATGTTGTGTTGAACGGAGCAATTAACATATTACTCGTTATATTTTGAACCCAACGTGCCAGGGGGGGGGGGGGGGGGGGGGGGGGGGGGGGGGCTACCGTCTCAAGGACATTTTGGTTTCATTGGAGGGTCAGAGGGTAGTAAACTATACCACGACGCTCTCCCGAAATTTACTCATTTATTATTTCAGTTCCTCGGCAAGAACGGTATTAGAGGATGGTTGGACGGCACCACAGAGAAGTCCAACTGGTTGAAGTACATCCGCTCCACCAGTTACACGCACGATGCCAATGTACAGCACACACTGCACGCTGGTGAAGTATGATCGATTTTTAATATTTTTTCTTAATTATCATTTCTTAGGGCGGTAACAGAATTGGGAAAGAAGACACATGACATAACATGACCTAAAACATTGAACCGTTCAGGTGCACTAATAACAATAACTCTGGTATAAGTATTGGATCTGTAAATTGTATTCACTTCTTGCAAAACCTTGTAAACTTTATGAATGATAACAATATTTTGAATATTGTAACCGTCTATGTTTGTTGTTGTGTGTTTGATACATATGTTATATATGAACAGTATTGACTGTATTGAAATAAAATGAAAATATTTACAAAATATTGGTATTTGCACAAAGCGGATCTTATATAATAGATTAATTATATATTATCATAACTATTATAGACCTTAGTTCGATATATGAGGTGAGAAAGTATGAGTGATACAACGGTACAGTACCGTTTATTACTCATGCTTTGCCCCTTTTTTCAGTACTAAGCTGTAATTCATGAATGAACCTAGATCGGATTTTTTATGATAGTTTGATTTATTTATTACCTACAGAATAACACCAGTTTAAAAATAATATGACTAACTAATAAATAATTACTTAATTAAATCTTGAATTGTCATATACAAAACAAAATTGAAATTTATGTTTTAGAAAGGTATAAGCAATTGAATAGTAGTAGTAAGTATTTGTATAAATTCGAATATAAATACAATGACGCAACACTTCAAACTGCGTCATATCAACCCTCGTCATACTTTATGTGTACCCCAATAAGACCCCAATGAAATTTGAATGTCGAACGTTGCCACTTCCGGTGGCAGAAAATCGGTGTTCCTGAACAACAGTCGCGGCTTCCGGTCAACTGTAGCGTTGTAGGGGAGCGAACAGATGCGGTGATTAGATCCACTCATGCCCTTTATACCACAAATCTATTTAATTACACCTCAGACTATTAGCATTTAATTCACGTATAAAATCATAGCTTTATTTTAAATTTTCGTATGACTCCACAGATTTCAAATTTTTAACAGTTGAAGATGTACAATGATATCGAATGATTTTTTTTATTTAGTCACAAAAAATCTAAGTTAATGGTATTAACACAACAGAAAAAGTTATTTACAGTGCTGTTACTATTGTTATAATAAATTAATCTTATAATAATGGATAGTTTTATCTAGTATGTTGGAATTAGATATATTTGAATTATATATCTCACTATTTTATATGCGTTTTCAGGTATGGTATAAAGTAATACGTGATATTACTCCTGGTCAGGAGTTGCTGCTGGGTCCGAGGACACCGTTACCGCTGCAAGATATCCTTCCCACTACTGGTCAGTATCTTTTAATATATTTTTTTATCTTTTTGTCGGTTTCTTGCTACAGTAACGAAACTAATAGTTTCTTTTTATTATGTGTAACTTGTTGTTGGATACGGGGTTTAATTTTCTTGCTTAGTGTTTTATTATCTTAAGGTAGACACATTGAAAGATGCTAACTAGAATGTTATTATATTCGTTCTCAGTCTCAGTTCTCATTATTAGTCCCCTTTTTATTCCAGTTCCACCTGATAACTTGTTATTATTTACTAATCAAAGATATTTGTTAGTGTAACTCCTGTAATTTTACTTATGTACCTATATAGTTTAAGTCCTAACGAGTCTCACATCAGTTGAATCACGGTCACGCGTGCTTCACGCTTCGACAGTCCGCAGTTAATTGGAGTCACCTGCCCTATGCCCTGTTCCGGCCCTCGTAAACTGTTGCCCCTGTCACATACAGGTGGTTTGTATAACCACGTATCTGTGATTTTCCTAAAATACTCTTAAAAAGTTACGTTAATCAGTTTAGTTGCCAACGGAATATCTCTGACTGAGAAACTTAAGGACTCTTCCAAGTACTAAGTAACGCCTTTAAAGATATTGTTACTAATGCTGTTATTTTTTGTTAGGCCATAAAATGAATATTTTTTCTTTCTTCAATATTTATTTTCATATATACATTTTATACAAGTACAAGCACTTGTTGCTTTGAATTAATATATTTGTTATTTAGGCGACGGGTACCACCTACCATTCCATTTCACAATTACAATGAATTGTAAGTGTAATTGAATTGAAAAATGAGTGCAATACATTTTTTGTATTAATGATTAACGATTTATTTGTTTTAGATTAACTTTAGATTTTGGCAATTTTGATTGTGTAATTGATAATATTCCGTCTTAATCACCTTCAGGATATATATATATTCAGGATATATATATTTTGTAAGGTTTAATGCACTTCGGCTTGCCTGTATATGCAATCAATTGCATGTAACTATAAATTAGGTTAATTTAACTATATGTATAAGCATATCATTTAGTTATCTCATAGGCTATAGGTATAAAATCATTGAATATAATTACGAATTAATTATCTGATATAAGAATAACTTTTTTCTGAAAATGTATTATTTGAAGCAACCAGAATAGGTTGCTTTTCTACTACAAATTATTATAATGAATATATATATAGGATATACATGTGTAAAATTCGTTAGCCCTCTTGTAAATCACACTGTATATAAAAAAAATCACCGGTTTTTCGAGCCGCGCACCGTACACCGGTGGTGCCACGCGCATACGATGTTTAATTTAGATAAATCGCGACGTACGCGCCGCCTGATGTGAAAAATCACGCATATGCCTATATTACGGTAAGGGTGCGTGGGATTAGAAGGACTGGAAGTGACGGGAAGAGAAACAGAAGAATTTGAATGGAGACAATATCTTTACTTATTAGTAAATTAGTATTTGGTGACTATATTTGTTTTGCTTCATACAATTTGTTATGTCATTGAAAATTGGAAACAAGGTAATGGAAAGTAGTAATCTAATATTTTGTATACTCAACATCATGGTTTAATTATTATTTGTCGATTAACTTTTGGTACATACTGTGTAGCGAGTGCTAACGGCTTATAAGAGCCTAAGCATAGGCATCATCAACAACATCCCCGTTGAATTTATATGTGATATTTAAAATAATATATTAACCGTTTAAGCAGAAACGATAGAGTCATTTATTGAAGACACTTGATAAAATATCTATTTATAATAATAGCAATAATTGAATATGACAATTCAGACACCGCCATTTAGATCCAAACTAAGTAGAACTCGTACTATGAGTATTAAACAACTGATACAAATACTTACTGGTACTTTATTTTGTAGATGCATACATAAACAGCAAACACCCAGACAAGCATTATTGCATATACTAACAAGCATTTTCATGAATACAAATATTTGAATTGGGCAAGGAATCAAAACTCGCGACCGTAGGAAGCATGGTGTTGTCAAAACCGCTAGACCATTAAGGACGTATTGTGAACAACTTGTTCTTTCACATCTAGAATAATCGCTATATCAATGGAATTAGGGTCTTCGGAGGTTCAGCACTGCCTTCCGGTGCGACGGTGTCGCAACTGGCGCTGTATGATTTATGCGATTTGAATTGTATGTAATTACCGGGTTGTTTAATAACAATTACTCGCTTGTAGACAATTGGGCTTGGAAAATCGATAATTGTAATACTAGATACAAATATAAACTTGCATTTCCCAATTATGATTTACATAGAGAGCCGTTACATAGAGTATAAAAATAAAGGTCTTTAATGAGAATTGCAATTCCATTGCTTTATATAAAGTTAATAGGTATTTTCTGAGAATTTATCTATTAAAATCTACTGTATGATACAGAATCGGATTTTAAACCGACCTTTCAATACCAGAGGTAGACTAAAAAGTGAGTTTCTACGTCCAAGATTAACTTATTTCAGCCGTCAAGCAGCAAGTTTTGTAAGCCGTTTCGGTTGCGGTTGGGCAGTGAAATTACAGGATAACAGCCCTAACTTAGTCATTAGGAATGGCAACACGATAACGTGATGTAGCATAACATAAATGTGTATACAACTAATATAAAAGTAACAAAGATTTAAACTTTTAATTAGGAAGATTGGATATGAATAAATTGTTTTCCTTTGACTTTGAATAAGAAAGAAGAAGAAGAAGTCAAAGTGAAAATAATTTATTCATTTTAGACATATGTATGGGACTTAATGTGCGTTATAGATAATATAAAATATCATATAAAATCTATGTATTTGCGCCTTTACTAGTAGTGTTGAGAAATTAGTAGATTTAAAAATTTGGAAATCAGTATATAATCTGTAAAATTATTTTAATAGCAGATTCTAGAGTTTATTTTTAACTTAAATGAAGACTATAAATGTATAAAATACGCGTATTCCTTTAAACGTTGGTAATAGTATATATTTATTAGTTGTTATTATTTTTGTTATCATCGGGTCCGGAGTTAAATATATTGATGGTCATTTAAATAGCGCAAACATCAGCTGCGTCACAAATCCAGAATGACTCCTAAATATCAATAATTGGAATCAATTTGGAGTCATTCTCCAACATTTGTCATAATGATCCGGGCTTGCGCAATATGTGATTGATGAGCTTTTTGAGGGTAGAAACGATCTGTAGACAGCTATTTGTATTTGGTTAGTATGGTTTTAGAATACAATAATACACAAAATATAAATAAATTCTGTTTTCTTTAGTAGCCTGTATTATTTTGAAACTATTATACATTAATATAACACAGTATATAATATAATTCAAATGCATTATTAAAGATAACTCAAAAAGTACTGGTTAACTTTAAAACGGGAAAAATAGGAACTGATCTGTAGAGTCAAAACAATACTAAAATGTGATAGCTGTAAGTAAATTATACACAGAACACTTGCGACAGTTTTAATATATGCTATTGGTACATAGTTTATTAATCTAATGATATGGTATGTTATTAATATACATTTTTTTCTACATGTGGACTGTCATTTAAATACGTCTTTATTCAAAAATATAATCCATCTACTCATAAGCGCAATAACAATAATATTAAAGTTAACCCTTTATTAGCCGTTTCTTTTTCATATCGGCCGCGTGCATTCGTGCCGGTAATGAATGAGTGCCGCGCGCGCTGACATTTGTCATCGCGCAATTGTCGTGCAGATTAAAATTGATGACGTTGCTTTGTCCGACGCGGGCGCATGCGCTATTGTCGCACGCTCGATCCGTTATCACTATGTACGATTAATTTTTGAATTTCGATAACGTACCGAGATATAAATCTTGAATATTAATGTGTTGATGTTAAGCCTTTTTTAGAATGGTTTAGACTACAATTGCATTCTATACTTCTTCTAAAAACTTAGATTTTTGTAAAGATTTTCTATTTCATCGTTACCATATCGATGTGCATTTAAATCTTACAATCATAGTAGGTATCTCGTTGACAAACGAAATTGAATATCAAGTTTGGAAAAATAAGAAGCTTATTACTTACATATAGCTCTATGAATACATTGCATATGTATATAGAACAGGTCTAGGAAATAACTTCTCAGGCTAATCCTAACATCTTCCACGTGGCCATAAGTAAGAATTTGGAGGCTGTTACAGATTTTATGATTATCTTTGCTTCTCTATAAACTTATACAAATTGTCTATATGTTCGTTGTTTGGAGATCTATTTACTTAATAGCTATTTATAATTTATACACATTGTACAAGACACATGTCATTGCACAACAAAAGTAAAAGCGAAAATTGAAACGTCATATAATGGTGACGATTCCCCACGAAATAGGATGATTAATCAAAAAATTAACCAACAACAATAGCTGTACTCCCCCATTAAACCGGGTACAATCGTTCGGCGTCCCACATCGCGTATTTATTTAACAATCAAATAAATATTACAGACAATAAAATAAAAATATTTCAATTTAATATCACCGCCCGTTGGAAGGGTTGAATATGGTCCGGGTGCAAGTTGCGCATGTCTACTTTTTGTTCGCAGATTAAATTTTTATATCTTGATGTTACGCAAAATTGAATAATTTCAATTACACAAGGGTTAATACAGGCGTGACTCTAAAATAATATTTTGAATTATTTTATAATCTTATCATATATTTAATTTAGTTTATCCAGAAAGTAAGTTCATTATTTTTTTAAGATATACCTAAATTAAAATATAAATCTTATTATTGCTGTTTTAAGCAAATTGCTTAATTATTACTGTTTGAATCCTAAAATGGTACTCGACTTGTTTTAAACAAAAAAATGATAGGGAAATTTAAATTACTATTCAACACATAAGTAACGAAGTGATATGAAAATGGAATTTCACTATTTAAGTAATAAGTACTTAAATAGTGAAATTGTTGGTTATTATTGTATCGTCGCATGATACAAGATATATTTGTATATACGATAACAGCAGCTTCTCTGACACAATCTGTGTTCAAGTCAAATTTAATACTTAATATTTTTTATTTACAATCTCCACTAAATTTGTTACGACTTAGATAGTAACCGAGGTACATATATTATAATATCTGATCATCCATTTTGGCATGTACAGAAACATACTTTACTTTTACACTATAGTATGAGATAGAATAATGTGATTTTTATAAATAAATAAGTAATTTATTTTGTCATAAATGTAATTTTTTATTGATAAAAATAGTGCACCCATCTGCACTAAGATGAACATGACGTTAGATCAGTTAGATTTTCGTGGCAAAATGATCAGGAATTTATCACGATGGTTACTGATATTGATTTTATCCCCTATAAATGTAAGTAGTATCTGTCTGTCTGGTAATATTATATATCTCCATATAGATACGACAGATAATACCGGTCAGGACGATCGAGTTCAGCCATAACACCGAGATTGGAGACCGTTCGCACTCTAGGGCGTAACGGTAACGCGCTCCGGACGCACCTGATGCGTAAGCCACTGGCATTACAAATTTTAACTGTTGTTAGCATCGATGACATCAATTTGTATAAGTTAATAGTTATAAATTCCTAAACAATTTCAGTAAGTTACCAGTTTGATTTTTTTTTAATGTGAGTAGTTGTGATTATACGGACATTGTATTCACTAGATAATCCACAGAACTATTGTACCGATTTGTGATCAACAACCACCTAGCCAGGAGAACTAGTTTATATTTTTATAAGATATGGCAATATTTCTTTTTTAACGGAATAGCTAACGGTATGAGAAAATAACAGGTGTCCCTGTTGAAGGGGTCGTTTTATAAAGATCAGTAAGTCACCGTCCACCGTCACGGTGCGCGCGCGCCGCCCCGACATCTGGTGACGACGTGGGAAAACTTAACGCCTGCGCCACTCGCCCGCCATACGCGAAACTTGTAATTACTCTTGGGAAACGGATCGAGGGTCGTGATATTAAGAAAAAAAAACTAGAGTACTATTGAAATTTTCATTCATTATACGAGTTAATATACTTCTGCATTTTTTCGTACTATTCCAATGAATACGTATAATTAAGAAAACCACGTTTTATTTATTTTATCGAGATCCCAATGTTTCGCTATGATCTCGGTTAAACTGTAGCGTAATGTGTAATACAATGAGATCCCGTGGTTTTAACTTATTATAGATACGTATAAATATTGATCACGTTAAAAATAAATAGTATATTCCAAAGAACTATCGAAAGAAAAAAACATGTAGACTCGAAACTGTAAGGCCAAGGTTACTGGTTCACCGATCGAAATAGTGACGAGTGAAAAGGGTACTCCAAAATCGTGAATGGACCGACTTAAGCCTAACTCCTGCCTAACGTATACGATTGTAGTCTGAGGGCACCGCTATAGGTTCTAACCTCATTTCAGGCCATCGTATTTTCGATTACTGTTTGAATGGGATAGGGGATGCATTGATTTAAGTATATATAATAAAGAAATAAATACAGACTTATAATTATATAACACTGAATAAAAAAAATTGGTAAAACAATTAATCAGAAAGACTGCGGTAGGTTCGCTTTGTCGAATTTAAATATGCACCGCGAAACTAAGATTACCTACTCGTAATGAAAGAAACTGTGTATGTTATAATTTTCTTTCTGGTTTCTTTATCCAGACAAAACAATAGTTACAACACAGGCACTCACACTCACACTTTGTCATATTCGGTCCCATCTCCCTCTCTGTTTTTGTCTATACATATCTACTGTACTGTACTGTAGTTGGCTATCCGCAGTGATTGTCGGATTTTCCTGTAGTATCCCAGTGATACAATTTATTTTTACATCAAATTCATTAAACTTCATTTAGCCGTTTAGTCATGAAAACGTTATAAGTAGACAGACACATAGTTTTACATTCATGTAATGTTATTAGTATGGAATATGGATACATCGATTTTCATGAATAGGTGATATTATTTTTATAAATCAGTGGTTATATAAATAATTTAATGCGATGCATGGTGCATGACACGCATTGATAATTTCTATATTTTCCCTACAATGCAAATGACAGGTCAAGTGAGCATATTAACCCTCGCAGGTGGGGTGGGGGTGGTGACCTGCCCTCTAATAATTTGTAACCAACACTTCAGTGCTATATGGCATCATACACAGGCCGGTTGACCTTTCATAGTGACATCATTTTGAATCAAGTGACATCACTATATTCTTTAATTGTATAAAGGTTATTTACTCTTTCGGCGTTTTCTGAGGTAGGTAAGTAAAGTTAGTTAGTTTTTATTTTATATTAATTTTAGTAATTCATAAAATTACTAAAACTTTTAAATTATTCATTATAACTTTTATCTCAGATAAGATACTTTTACTGGTTGGGGTAGTCATTTAGTTAGTTAGTTTTGTATATATTTACTTTATTTATTGGTACTTTATTAATAATAAGAAATACATTTATTTTTTATTATTGTAAATTCTATAATAAACGAATAGTAACCAAAAACCATTCTCACTACCATAGATGTAGTGCTTTAGCCACGAAATTATTTAAAAAATTACTCATTCGAAAGATTTTTATTTTGTATTGCTTTATTATGATGCCGTATGGTCAAAGATAAGTGACCAAGAAGTGTAACCGTTGAATGTAAACACAAATATTCCAGACTGATACATTTGTTTGTATGTATGTAGTTCACACTTGGCCGATGATATCAACGTTGTTTTATCTCAACCTTGCCTTATCACGGATAGCTCGTTAGACAATGTGCGAGGCGTGGCTTCGCTCGTGACTCGAATTAATTCTGCATGTGTCAATGTGATCTTATACTTCCGACGCCCCACTCATGATTTGTTATGCTTGATAACTTATTGTTACTGGCAACGTTTGATTATAAGCTCTACAGAATAGGTACTATTGTTGATTTTTTATGAAAGATTGTTATAGCGTACCTTTGAATCAAACACTATAATATTTATTTAATATTATTTATGTTTTTTGCTCATATAACAAAAAATATTAAATGAATTTTATTATTTCATTATTATTTCAGTTACGCTATTATGATATTAGTAATTTTACTTTAGTATATGTACTACTAAAGTAAATGTATAAATTAAAATTATGAGTAATTAAATTATAAATGCTATTTATAATTAAAATTTACTTCAGCAATAGCTATTTGTATTTTGTTTCTTTCTTTAATATCAATAAGCATTTTCAGACGAACATAACATAGATAATCTCAACTCCTTTTTTTTATTGCTTTGTAATTAGCAGGATGTTGGAGTGAATATATAAATATTAGAATCTGAACTCGAACCGAAATAATTTCGAGCTAAATAAGCTAGAAATAATGTCAAAGAACATGCAACTATACATTTTGTAAATACTTGAAACGACGTGTAAATCAATAGAAAGCCTACAATTAAATGCAAACACTTTCAACCGGACGCATAAAGTTTTGCTCGACGGCAATATTGCATATTTGCATTGAATAATGTGTAAATTATTAACCGTTCGACTAGTAAGGTTAAGTCCATTTATTACATTTTTTGAGTTTATTTAATAATTTATAAAACGTAAAAGTAAAAATTAATTTAACGGCGGTTACAGTATCTTATGTACAGAGTAAATATGAAGGGTGAAGCTGAAAGTTACTAGTAGAATAGTATTACTATTTAATAATACACTATTACATAGTAATAATAATATTAATGAAACCTAAATCTATAAAATAACTAACACGATAGATATTATTCAAATTAGTAGTAGTATGATAATAATTAGTCTCAATTGGGAATGGACGTACCTATAACTTGAATAACCATTAATCAATGGGGAAGGTACAAGTATATTCTTGAGTGGCGACCCAGTACAAGCAAACGCGGGGCCTTTTAAAACATAAGTGGTTATTAAAATATATTTATTTGAACCCCTTCTAGTAAAGCATTTAAAAATAAATTAATTTAATTTTTTTTATATTTATATTTTTATGAAAATATTATTAAATAAAATAAGCTAATGTAATACATACGTGTATGTGTACATACATATAAATTAATTGTATATTATGATATAATAATTGTTTTGTCTCTAACTCATTTTTATTCACTAATTATAATTAAGGTATATTAGTTGTAACATAATTTAGGAATATATAATTAATTAACAGTACAACATTAACTATTGCAGATCACCAGAGCTCTAGTGTCAAGTATACGCAGCCACTTCCTGAAGAGGAGGAACGTGAAGATACGGAGCCGAGGTGCTCCTTCTGTGACTCTCCATTCCCTAACATAGACACGTGAGTTTCATTTGTTTCTAATAACTTGCTATATTTAAACATTTGTAACCGTCTGTCATAGGCACAAGGTTTATTATAATAATAATTGTATAGTGTTTATATGTATGTTACGCAATATGTTTAATATTGATTTCTCCTATAAAAATTATCTTGAGATAGAATTAACAGCGCACTCTAGCAGGGTACTAATGAAAGATGAATAAATGACGGTTAAATTTAAATATAATGACACTATTCTGTCTAATTTATCAGAAACGAACTTTCATTACCAAATTAAATCATCCGGATTGATCTAACAAAATGTATTGCTAGTCAGACAAATCGACTTCATTATTGCCTATTCCAATATGAAAAATTCCAATAGGAAGTGCTTCAATCATTAGATATTTATATACATATAGACAAAAAAATATTATAAATAATACAATTAAACTAATATTTAATATGTTTACTAAATAGTTTACTGTGAGCTTATCACAACAATTTAATTATTATTTATCGTTAATAACTAAAGTAAATGCAATCATTAGTCAATTTATTTTATCTATCCACCTATCTTAAACAAGCTATTCCGGTACTTTTTCTGTAGCTCTCGTCTAGATGCAGAAGTTGATCAATTTCAAACGTCTTCGAAACTATTAACCTCTTGCCATTAATATTATTTGGTCGCCAGGAACGGTCTAGTAACGATTTATTTAGTAGAGATGTACCCAATCGATAACTAGACTCGATGATTTGTTGTCGGGTGCGCCGTAGGCACGCGATGCTCGATCAAACCCCCGCAACTGTTATACTCACAATCTGACAATTAAACAGACATTTGAGACAATTTGACAGGATCATATTCAATAATGATAGTTTAGTTTTTATCGTACCATCTTACAACGACTTTTAACAACTACTAATGACAATAACAACATACAATATTGAAAGCTCAAATAAAACGTCGATTAAAACGATAAAAAGTGTCTCATTACAAATAAAAAACATATCATGAATTTAATATTTGTTCGACAAGCGACTGCAAGCCGTAATGGCCTGTGTCATCATATTCTATTGAAGTGGCGTCGGTTTTCATCAATAATGCAGTGGATCGAGATTATCGACATGCACCGTTCTAACGTATCCTTGCGGCCTTATCGTACCATCACTATTGTTTTAAACGTTTCTAACAATTATGGGACATCGGAACATAGAACGGTGTGACAATTTTCTACTATACAAAAATAGAATACAGAACTGAATAGATAATAAAGATACTAAAATTACAAGTAAATACGGAATTTGCAACGTCTAAGTTTGTAAGATAAATAAAGTGAAAACATAGTACCTTTAAGTGTACATATGAGATGATTATGATATGATTTATATCGAGCTGTATTGTTAACATTAATATATCACTTATATTCGTTTCACAGTAAAATTATTCTCCGTCAGGAGTTAGTCATTAGATTTTGACTTTGTTAGTAGGTACCGATAGCTATCACTACACTTAGGAATGCCTATTAGGTCACTAATCTTCAATATTTATAATGCTAGCAATGTTAATTCCTGGTGAAATCTTCATCATTACAATCTCCACTGATGCCCGCTAGCACGGGTGCACTATTATATAAATATGTATTCATTAGTAAATAATGTATAATGCACACGTAATAGAGTGTGTATTTAAGTAGCGATACACTTGTAATATTGTCAACAATATACATCACCAGTCAACGATAATATTATTGATAACTTAAATTATACCGTCACGCGTGCTCCTAATACCTGTTGAGGCGTGTTCCAATGCATCGTATTCGTATGTTACGAAATCCCATTGAAATATCTTATCGGATTTGTAATTTGATATCACACATTATGCGATTGAATAGCAGATTGTAATTAATATATTTTGTGTAGTTTGTGGAGGTTACTTTTAATTTGTTCGATCTTACTAATTTTCTATGGGATTTTTATTGAAACTGAAAATTGTATCGACTTTTATCTTGTCTTCCAATTACATATATTATAATAATTAAAAAAATGATCAATCAGGACATAATAAGTTTAAGACCAGTATGTGAGTGAAAGCAATGGATTGCATTTTAACTTTTATCAAAATCGTTGCAAAATTAATGAAAATGTCGGATATATTTACAAAAAAATCAATTATATACGCTTCACCTCTGGAGAGAGCGTTCTAAAAAAAATATGAATAATATTTTATATTCCACTAGCTGCTTCGTCTGCGTAAATTTTTATTTCTTATTTCAATCCTTTTCATGAGATTAAAATAGACTATGTACGTTCATCTTTTCTATCTTCATATGAAACTTCAATAAGTAACAAAATATAGAGAAACACACCTTTGAATTTACAACAGTAGTAGGCGATTGCGCGACAATTTATCGCTTCTAAGTCGCTCAATGCACTAACGGGCGTACTCTCACTTTCGTCAGTGGTAGGCGCTGTCACAATTGGAATGATCATCGGAGCCGCTGTCACACCTCGAACCGATATCGGCCCGATCAGCGGTTACGAAGTCAAAGCAGAATTATACGCTATCCGCTCGTGATCGCCTCTTTTGTACAATCATTATTATTTGCCCATCATAGATTTAGTTTATTTATCGATCTCTATTCGTGATACCCGATTTATTGCATTGCGTTTATTTTAAACTACTTGTGCCTGCGACTTCGCACGTGATGTTTCTGATATAGTTCATATTTTTTCATGTAACTTCTTAATTTATAAGTCGATTGGAATGAAACATACACTAGATGTTACGAGGAGCTTACTATAATATAGGTATATGTGAAAATTGCATTCAAATCGGTTAGGCACTACTTGAGATTATCATGCAGAAACTCAAATAAACAGATGACCGTACTAAATATTTTTTGATCTCATTGCTTGAATATAAATAAACTATATGTACAGACACGGCTGCTTGATGATTATATATATATATATATATATATGAGTTAAGAATTTATTAGATACAATTCGATTGATTTAGAAGATTACGGACTATGCGAATAATAGAATAGTGATGCAATAAAACTATTAATAGAAATTGCTAGTGTTTTGTTCTCTTAACTATTTTTAGCAAATTTAGTGTTATATTAATAAGTTTTATACATTACTGTATGAAACTCGTATTCTATTATTATTTATTTGTTATATTAGCAGTATCACAAGGCCATGCCAGCGGAAATTAAGATAAAAGTTAATTTATGTTTTATATTTGGTTATAATTTTTGTACCAATATTTAATGAAATTATTTCAGTAGTATAATGTGATTGAGTAACAAATTGAGTAAATATACAAAATTTTACAAATGCAAATATATTAATTACTTCAAATTCATTTAAATTGTAATCGCTTAACATAATAATATCAGGAAACAAACTAATAAGAGCATGGACAATATGTCTGTGGAGAAAAAAAATATAGTTATTATAGTTAGTAATGGTATTAATATATAATTATAATTTATAGTTACCAATTTACAAAAAATAGTTTGAAATATAGTTTTGTATAAAATATTGTAGATATCCTACTGGTTTATATGATAATTATATTCGTAGTTTGTTGTTAATAATAAAATTCTATATATACGCTATCACAAAGAAAATCTATCTGTATTTTTCTAATTCTTCGAAATATTTTGCAGCTGGTTTGATTTTAGTCCACGTCATTTTAAATATATATATATATATACGTATCTCATTCATCAATTTATGATACGGAATTTCTCAACCGATTGTTGGAATCTACAATCAATTATTAAAGTATAACTAGAGACATCTATTGTGCATGATTAGTTGGTACACTGTACCCCTAAAATGTAACTTTACAAACAAATTTAATAGTATATTATCGTGACTGCCTCGCTCGTAGATTAGTATACTTACTTTCTAAGGATCATCCGTTCGATTGCCGTACAATATAAATATTTGGTATATATATTTATTAATATACAATATATATATTTATTAACGTAGCTGTTTACTAAAAAATACCAAATTTTTATAATTATCAAGTACCTACTTATAGCGCAACTGTGTAACGCTGTGTGAGTTATTTTTTATGCGGTATTTTTTATATCAATGTAATTATAAATCTTAAGAAAATTAAAGTAAATTTATAATTGTTTAATGTACCCACGCAGGTTAAGCAAATGATAGTAATTAATTTTTGATAATAAGTAAGTAGTTTATTTTGTAATACAGAAAGTAAAATGTATTATTATAGATTTATTGTATCGATCCTTGAAAGCTTCCGACAAGTCATTGGCATAAAAATTGATAAAAAAATTTACATAACGTGTAATTTTATCGTCAGAAGCGCTCTACTTACGAGTACATTCTCTTTTTGTACAAACGTTTCAAAATTTTGGTTGGCCTACTGAAAGGTCACTCTTTTTTTAATTAAACTCGTTTCGTGATTTATTTCCACTTCTACAAAAAGCCCTAATTAACAATAAAACGCGATTTACGCGCAACTATCAGCAATTGCGGGAGATTTATCACTTGTATTTATTTTAATTTCTACTACATTATTTCAAATGTACCTTTCGGTGCATTAACTGTTAGTTATTTAGTTAAGTACATATATATTATAAAATTGTGTTTCCTGACTGAATATTACGTATATACGATATTACGCAGTACATATTATTCTACATTGCTTATTAAAGATTCATTACAAATTATTCACCTTTATGAGAATGTGAAAATTTCTTTTATTATTATTTTTTTTAAATATTTATGAACTTTAAAATACTTGCAACATTTTATTGGCGATGGATGGTGGTCACTCGTGTGGGTGGAGCTTAATGGATTACCAGTGAATGAAAGTTGTTCATTGGACGTTATCAATTCTTGAACATGTAGATTATTTTAATCATGCATTGTTGTTTGATGTACTACTATTCTTCTGCTAATTAAATTTACTTGTATATAATATGTTTATCCCCTACATCACCTTCATATATTTATTTCGGAAAACATGTGTTATGTAATACTATATTGCGGTAAAAATAGATTTTTTTTGTCAATCGTAATTAAATAAATAAATAGTTATTTTTATAATATATTTATGCTATATTTAAATGAAATGCATACCACAAACTCATCCATGCTTCCAATACCAGAGGAATATCTTTTATTTTAAGTGTACATTACGAAATCCGGCTGGAACATACCTCCGGGTATATAATTAATAGTTGAGACATATAATTCGTGCATATAACTTTCCACTGAATGACTTTCCACAAAATCTTTACGATTATGTTAATGTCCAAGACTTTATGTAGATATGTATATATACCGAACTAGACTTTTGTAGTTACTGCTCTATCTCACCCGATTCAGCCGCCAAATACTTATCTTGCTTTGTAGTATGTGTTTTGGATTAAGGGAACGATAAGGCAGTAAAATAACAGAGCAAGAAAGCATGAGATGCTCCACATTAGAATCACATGGTTTATAAGTTGCATCAACATATGGCGTGATTTGCAGCTATAGAGATATATATAGGCAACGGTTACCATTTACCACCAGGTTGACAGACACCTTGTTTATCATTTCATTTACAAAAAAGTTAATTATGCAATTTACTAATAAAAAAAGAACAAGAAGTAACTAATGAAAAAGCAATTGAGCGATCATGTCGCGATAAATATACAAGGTGACCACTGGCATCGGTAAATTGTAACATTTGATTGTCGAAAAACAGCACAGAGTACTTTCAATTGTGTACCGCTGTTACGCAATACGCTATTAAGAGGTACACAATCGATCTCTGTTAGAAACGTTTACTTAGATGTTGTGCTCTTGTAACAACATGGAAACTCGATTAGATTTCACTTCGACGGCGTTAGGTTCTGTATCTTAGTTTTAATGATACTCGGGAAGATATCACTGGTATTATTATATTATATCCAGCAGTATCACAGTACATTTTGGTGACGTTACTTAAATAACTTTCAAATACCTGTAATCTTTCAAGTTAATTATCTTTGCTTTCATCTGCTTAAAATCACTTAACTCCAATGGGATTTTTAAAATCCTAAGAAATAATAAACATACCGACCCCACTAGTTTTACTATGAATATATATGTTATTTATTAATTATTATATCATGTATGACTAGAAAAGTTGCACGTACTTTGTATTATATCAGGTACTGAACCCTAAAACCTGAGCGGAAGATCAGGCACGCAGATATACTCTGCGCTGTTGCGATGCAGCCCCGGGCCCATGCGTTGTAGTGCGCCTCTATTACGAATAACTAAATAGCTACCTACAGATCGACATGCTTCGATTTCATTCAAAACTATTATTTAATTGAAGTAATTATGTATAATTTATTAAGTATCAAAACAGTAGTAGCACTTTAATATCGTCAATTTTAATGTAACCAAATAATGTAAAAAAACTTAGTAGTCTTAGAGCCCATTTAAGTTTTGCTTTCTCTTAAAAAAAGGCAAAATTTTTATCATAATACTATTGTCTATAGTAAAGTCTTTAAATAGTTAATTTAAGTCAGGATTATTTACTAATATTATTAGTAAATTATCTTACAAAACAGAATTATGTGTACCGAAGTTAGTCAAGAATGCTGTGCTGTGTTGGTATTTCTTTATCTAACGCGGATTGCATAGTCCGATTTAGTTGTCATTCGAAATATCTTAGAATCTTCTTTAATTAAGTATATATATCCGGCTTACAGGATTTAATTACTGAGTATAGATTGAATTCGTTAAAAATTTTAGTAAATTTTGCATATTGTGAATGGAGAAAATTCTGGTAACAAACCTATTAAGGCTGAATTTTATATAGATATTATATTTTAATATATATGTATACATGATTTTTATTTAATTCTCAAAAATGACAGATTATAATATACTAAAAGACAGTTTTAAACGTTCATCTATGTCACTTTTATTACTATTTTAAATCCCCAAATGCAGTCCAGTTGACTGCATCATTTAATAAAAAATGGAGTGAAGTTCATCTATTATCTACTAATCCAATTCAATGTTTTGAAATAAATATTCACATTGCCGGTGTTTTTGATTGCGACAAAATGTATTAATTCAAACTTTGGATCTAACAAATCTCTTCCCACTTCGATAACATGGAACTGGTACGACTACGCAATGTACGAATGGACAGCATGTAAGCGACGGAACCATTACTGACGGAGATTTTATTCCGAGATTAATTAAAAGATACGGTGACGGGCCTGCCGTCCGCAAGAGTGAAAACGCGTCATCTTAATGACTTGACAATTGTGAACATATCGATAAGTGCACGATACATTTCTTTGCGGAAATAAATGGTTTTCTATGTCTATGAATAGATGCAGCAGTGGAGTTAACTTTAAGAGTATGCATTGTAAAACGAGATATAGCAGGTGCAGCGTTAGAGAACTGCCCGAGGCGGTAAGGGTTGCGTGTGGCGGACTAGTTATGTCAAGGAGACTCGCTGAGGCCATTTTTGCAAATGACATAAATATATATACGTTATATACGATTTTTATAACTTCTGATATTTGCGGAAATAATATTAATGTGACGTAGAACTTTGTACAGTTAATACTTTGTTCTATGTATAATTATTCTATCAAAATATCGAAACATATTAAGGTATTTCATGACATTTTGAAAAAGAGGAAAGAAGAATATACTTTATATGCATCACGCATATGAGTTACAAATATTCATGGTACACTTGTATGTATGATTAATTAAGAAATACAATTATCATTTAACTTGGAATAAAAATTGAGAGTACTAAATGGTTCAGTATATTTCGCAAAGCGCTAAAACATGTTTGAATTATGTATAAAGTCAGAGTGGGCGATCTCGATGAATGCAGATGTTATTACTTTGTTTCCTTTGCGAGTTGTCGCCTGCCGGGAGCGTGTAGTATTCTAGTTAACGAACGAATTGCTAACGGCTATGTTATCACTTTCATACTAAAAACATAAAAACGTCGTAACATTTTTACTCTAAACTTACCTACGTCGTTACATTTTTTTTAAATATTTTCTTAGTTAACGTTACAAAATAAACTTATGTTCCAATTTATACACACTTAGTAATTTTGACTGTCAGCTGGAATACATAATTTTATGCGTTTAAGTAACCGTGATATATATTGCAAAAATTAGGAAAAGTTTCATTTAAATATTTTTGAACTGAGCAATGTAATTAACAAATTAATAGTCGTAAGAATGTTTAATAGGCCTACATGAATAAATTATATTTGATTGATTTATTAGCGTGACAGTTTTGTATAAAAAAAACAACAGTGCGTTCCTAATTCAGAACGAACAAAATTTTTGTTATATGTTAAGCTTATATGTTATTAACTTTCATAATTGTAAATCAAGTTATTTTAATTTACAGACTCGACCGTCACTTAGTGCAGGCACATGCCCAGCCGTCAGCAGCATTTCACTGCGAACTGTGCAACCGCGCCTACAGCTCCCGTGCGCTACTGTTACGGCATAGAGCGCTTGCGCACACTGATATCCGAAAATATCCTTGCGAGAATTGTCCTAAGGTATATTGTTGGTTACTTATTATTAAAATTACTATTTAAATAAATTAATGTCAGATTTACAACATTTCCTTGTTTTCCTATGTTCGCGGATTAAATAGCCGCACAATACAAACGTATATATTAATAATTTGTATTGTTTTGGTTGAATTTTTTTTCTATGAATTTATAACAAAAGTAAGTATTTTCATCATTTGCTTATTATTAGTTCAGGATTAGTTAGAATTCTTTAGTACTATTAAATCAAAGTTAAAAATTAAATGCTTCTAAACTATTACCCCGAGCTTAATATTTCACCGGCTCCGAAACCTGATTATTTCAGGTATTTACCGATCCTTCCAACCTCCAGCGCCACATCCGCGCGCAGCACGTGGGCGCACGCAGCCACGCGTGTCCAGAGTGCGGCAAGACATTCGCCACCTCATCCGGTCTCAAGCAGCACACGCACATACACTCCAGCGTCAAGCCCTTCCAGTGCAAGGTCTGCTTCAAGGTGAGAGCCATGCAATTATTAATAGATAGGGTTGTAACTTTCAGTTACAAGGCAAGTATTGTAGTAATTACATACTGTAATGAGGTAAACACCAGCGGTATCATCAACCTGTTGGTTGTCTGCTATGAAAAGTAACTTACGCCTGTAAATGCTACATCAATGTCAGCTCAGAATTTGTGGACCATTAAAGCATTAAAACGTAACAAACTTTTTTTTTGTATTGTAAATAATACTACAGTTAGGATAATGTACTTATATAAAAATCTAATCTAAAAATAAAATTGATCAATAATTAATTATTTTTTTAATTTTAACGGGAACTGAAGATCAAAAGCAACACAACAAAACAAAGTATTTTCTTTTTTATTTTCAGGCTTATACTCAGTTTTCGAACTTGTGTCGTCATAAACGTATGCATGTAGCATGCAGAGCTCTAGTAGAATGTGGAAAATGTGGTCAATCATTCACTTCGTACGCATCTTTAACTAAGCATAAGAGATTCTGCGATACCGCTGCTGCAGCCACCGTTAATCTTCGAGGTCAGATTCCACAAGGTTTACCACAAATACCATCTCTACCAACTCTCGGAATGAATACCACAAATAATCCAAATCCATTGAGTTATCCTCTCTATCGAGGATTAACTTTACCTCTTCCTTACAATAAGTTACCGCACTACAGCGCTGGCCTGCTATCAGCTGCTGCAGCTGCTTATCAACCAGACTTTCTAAATCCATTACTTTTCAATGTTCAAGGTGTAAGATTGGCTATGGAACATGATATGGCTTTATCCAACGCTAACATGATATCTAAACAACAAGAAGGCCGAATGTCTGTTAAAAGCATTGATAGTTCTACATCTTTAGATGATTCCAAAAAAAGTAAAGACTTGGAATTCGACAACAATAGGAGAAGTAATGAAAATGCAGAGATAATGACACCGAGTAAGACGCTTAGTTTATATTCAAAGCAATCTTCACCTTCAATCGAGGATGTACCCCAGCAACGACCATCACCTATTATGCCAATATCAACACCGATAGTTCCTTTTAATTTCTCAAGAGATGATCTTAAACGTAAATCACCGTTCAATTATTCGTTAAAGATGAATAATAATGAGATAAAAAGGCATAAGTCAGTGTCTCCATCACCTAAAGATTTATCAAAAAGTATTACGAGTGATGATAAAAATTCTGAGTATTCTGAGACAGAGGAAGATACGAAGAAAGATCAAGGAGATCAACCTCTTGATTTGTCGGTGTCTCGGAAGCAAGCCGATAAAGAGTTTGAAGTGGATAATGATGATCGTTCCTTTCGAAATTCATCGGTAAAGTCATACTCGCCACCTGAAAGTCCTGTTGAAAGAAACAAGACTCCAGAAAACGATACTACTGATGTCGATGTAGAGGGAGTGGAACCGAAACGTGAGGACTCACCCGCACTGGTTTCACAGTCCCTGGCTTTCCCACTGCCTGTTTACCCGAACCATTATCCTTCGAGGTTCTACTTTAATTCTCCCGACTCTCTACTAAACGCATCGCATTCTCCCTACGTACCAAGCCCATTCAATTTTTTATCCCCACTTCTCGGCACTGACGGGCCTCAGCGGCCGCCGCGCCCTCCTAGTGCTTATTCTGGTGGCAAGTTGCGGGATAGATATGCTTGTAAGTTTTGTGGAAAAGTATTCCCGCGCAGCGCGAACCTCACTCGCCATCTACGCACTCATACAGGAGAGCAACCGTACAAGTGTAAATACTGTGAGCGTTCATTTTCGATTTCCTCTAACTTGCAACGACATGTCCGCAATATTCATAACAAAGAAAGGCCTTTTAAGTGTCCGTTATGCGATAGGTGTTTCGGACAGCAGACTAATCTCGACAGACATTTGAAGAAACATGAAGCAGAAGGTGGCGATTCCCCCAGTTCAGCCGATACAGAGCGTGAGGACGCATACTTCGATGACATCAGGTCATTTATGGGTAAGGTTACGTGCGAGCCTGGCAGCACTCCACCCGCCACCTCCCCGCATCCTCCACACCCTCACTCCTCCCATGCTCAACATCCCTCCGCGCTGCCACATCTCGCTGCTATTACCACATAGCCGCCGCCTTACCCGCTGCCGCCTTTACCGCCTCCGCCGCCGCTCTGGCCGCAGCATTTTCCATAACGTCAATTTAAATTGAGCAGCCTTTTTGTTAATTCATGTTAAGGCGCCCGGCGGGAATATGTCCATAGTATATGTTAAATGTTCACGAATAACTAAATAGGGATGTTTATATTTAAATGCTGCTATTTTAAATCAGCAAATGTAAAATATTATTGTAAGGGTGCACGTCACTTAGGCTTGGATTAGCGACAGGAATACATGCGCTGACGATTTTCTAGCATTCGTATCGTGAGCAATATTAATAGAGTATACTAGTATAAGGGTGTGCACACATGGACGACTTTAAATCAGAAATTAAGTTTAATTAGTTGTTATCATAAGTTTCATTCTGCTATACGGTAATGTATTCCGAAAAGCCCAGGATATAATTACAATAATTTTTAAAACTTTGTAAATCAGACAAAAACAATACATCATTGTATAAAATTTACAGATTTGTGTAAGTAAACATCTTATAAGGAGCAGTACGTTTAAAAATTTGCTGCGGAATAAGACTTCGCAATATATACGCTTGTTCACTCACATGACAAATCAACCGATAAATTAAATAATTTTAGGTCTCTCATAAAAACTGTAGATTATTTAATTAAATAAATGTTATTATAGTTAAAATTATATTTGTTCCTAGTTTACTTATAAGATTTTTGCCCTCTACAGTTGTAAATATAATAATACCTATATTACTTTCCACTTATATTAAGATTGTTATGTACTATAAACATAAGATAAGGTTGTTTTAAGTACATTTGCTTGTTAAGTTGTAAACATAAAACGACAATATTAATATTCTTTAAAAAATATTTATTAATGTATAAATGCATGTTAAATTTTTATAATCAAAACCTACCAAAGTTATGATTTACTATTTTTATTTTAATAGTAGAAACTAAACCAATATTGGAGTGAAAAAACATTTCCTTATATTAAGTTATATGAAATTGGAAATATTATTTCTTTTGTAATATTATTTTAGCGGGTGTTTAGGAAAATATATTATGTTTTATTTCAAAAGTAAATATTGTATATATATATATATATATTAATATGAAGATCATATCAAACTCGAGGCTTAGATTATTCTAGAGCCATTATTATCATATAAAAATAAGCTTAATTAAATTATCAATAAGTCAACTTTGCAACTTTTTTATTATCTACAATTTATTATCACTTGGAACGCTTACACGTAAAAATAGAATTTCTATTTATTAATTTTTTTATATTTCAATCAACCAATTTTCATATGCTATCTTCGTATAATAGAATTTAATACATGAAATTAGTTAAATGTTGGCACTTGCAATTCTGAATTGTAAACATTTCCTACTTTGTCGCATTAATTAATCATAATAATAATATGAAACATTTACAATTGTCATTGTGACAAAGTAATAAATGTTTTACATATGTTTTGTGTGACTGGGTACAGTTAGAAACAATATGACTGTTTGGTTTAATAACATATTATACGAATGTAATATATCCTGTACAATATTAGGTATTGTGTAGTTTGATCTATTGAGTTATACTACGCTGCAGATGTATCATGCAGATTCATAATTTCGTTCTATATTAAAAGTTAAGCAAATAATATTGTTATAATCATTATTATTCTCTGTATGATGGTCTGTTATAGATTCTTTAACTATCTGATTCTAATAAATGACGACGTTTTAGTTAAACGTAAACATTTGTAAAAGATTTTATTTTTAATAGTAAGCAAATTGTTCAATGTTTATAATACAATATTCAATAAAACTGTATAGTTATTAGATATGAATATGTCATAGAATAATTGAATTTAGCACAGTAATGACATTCTTTATAAATCTTGTACATATTTGGAAATCATTGCAATAGGTATGCATTTCTGAAGTTTAAACTGCCGTATTGTTGAAGGGTTTATTGCACTTTAAATTTTATTGCCATAAAATATTGTTCTAATTTCAATGTGAAATCGACAAAACGGTAACTTAATACTATCATGGTGTGCAGTTATGCAGTGGCGCCCTCCTACAATTTAAAGCGTAGTTAAAGTTGTTGTTTTATATACATCTAAAAGCAATATGAAAATAAATAAATATAGATTTTTTTTCACGGTTGTTTACATTTGTACACAATAATATGCTCATAGTACTTTTTTATAACGTGTATATCCGAGTACATGTAAAATACATTTTATAATCTCTTTCTACAAATATTACATACTACATTTTTCTCAGTATCTTATCAATTTGTATAGAATTGATTGTACTACTTAGGATTCCAATTCAGTTTATTCATTATGAAATGAATTATTTAATATATATAATTAAATACTTGTAACAAGAAATCTATGGGCGTCTCTGTGCGACAAATAAGCTGTTGGTAGGTAGATATAGAAATATTTACCCATCTGTATCATTATCATCATATCACTCGGCATTAGTTATAATTTTAAGAATATTAGCGTCACAGCGCGTTTACTGTACACTTGTACCTAATTTGATAATGGTTCGATTGCAAAATATCGGTATTGTAATGCATTGAAAATAAAACAGTACAATTTATATACTTTCTTTTTATTTATTAGTATCTGTCCCGTGCAATCCTCTGCATCACACTTACTTGACAACTATTACTATATTTCACTCAATTTATATGGTATATTCTTAAATTATAGCATATTTGTACTATTCTGATGTATAAGCTATATTAGTGTAAAGTTACATAAAAATCCGTTCAGTAGTTTTTGCGTGAAAGAGTAACAAACATCCATCCATAGTCACAAAATTTCAGGTTCATAATATTAGTAATAATATATACCATATTTGCACATGAATACTACTAATAAACTAGTAAATTTTTAAAGATATTTGATTGTTTCTTAATCAATAATGTTTATACAGTCTAATAGACTCAAATGAAAATTATTCTGTATTAACTAAGGGTTATTGTTATGCATGGAGAGCTGCGGAATATAACTAGTATATCATGTAATTATTAAGATTAGGCTGCTTAAATACCTGTAACTATGGAAGCAGTATTGGATATGAAAAATAATAGATAACTTTAACATTCATCTAATTTAAAAAATGCAATATTATTCAATTAATTAAATCAGACTACTAAATATATATTCTAAAGTGTGTTTATCTATCTATAAGTCTATCTGGCTGCCTTTTACAGATGAACGGATCGTAATAAAATTTAGAGAGGAAATAGAATATGTCACGATAATATACATATGCTACCTTTTATTTAAAATATTCAAATGAAGTCGCTAGTAACAAGAAATATAGATACTATATACCTTAGTACTAGTAACTATTACGGTCACTATCCAATGATAGAACAAATCATGCGTATTAATATTCAATTTCCATTTGCGTCTTATGCAGTTTAGATAATGGAATTCAGTATTAATTAATTAGTGAATAAATAAATTTGAGGAAATGAATAAACAAGAAATATCCTGCATTATTTCTTCTTATTTAGAATAGCTACAGGAGAACTTAATGATGTAAATAAGAGCAAATTACAATGATGACAATAGGTATGTTGGCGTAATACGCGCAATAAACGTTTAAATAATCTGATCATCATCTCTCATAGCTTCTAACCAATGGCTAATAGTAGCTGAATATCAAATTAGCCATGGAAATAGCGTGAAACGTTACATATTTTCTTTCTAAATTATCTATATGTTTACCTATGACATATGAATTCTCTATTAAGAATTCATATATCATATTTAAACATAAAGTAATTTAAAAAGATGGCGCTACGGGATACAATGTAGGTATAAATAAATAAAGTTCAATTTAATTTGGTACTACATGATATCTGTGGATATTTATATGTATAATCAATTAATCATGAAACCTTACACTTTATATCATTAATTAATTGGTTCGTAAAAACTTTTAATCGAATTAATTGGTCTTCCATGAAATATGCTATTACTGTCAAAAACCAGTGCTTTGGGTCAGAGACAAAAGGTCAGTTATAAAGTAAGACTTCAATCAATGATTATATAAGAGATCTACTTTGGTGCACGTTATCAGTGAAAGCAAGGACGCAACAAGGACGCAGTTAGGGTAATTACACTTATTATCGGCCGCTCGCCTGCGCCCGCGTTGATTCTTTGCACCTAGTAATAGTGGGCGACTCAGCTCAAACTACGCCACGCCTCATTGTCTGTTCTAGTATTGATATATTGTGTTAATCATATTTTAACAGCATCAAATTATAATATTATTATTGATTCTATAATAAGGAAGGAACAAAAAAAAAACTATTTTATGACGAAAAAATTTGAATAAATTTTTTTACACGTAGTTTTTTTTATAATATTAAGGCAAGATAATTCACACAGCGTAATCTAGTCCCACGTTAAGCAGAGCATAGGTTCTGGGTGGACCGGACAACTGATATAAATACATAGATATTTTTTGTGGAAATGTATATATAATATACATAGAAAATACACAGATACCAACAATCATACTCATTAACAAAACCATTTATACCGTGCAAGGAATCAAACCAGCGAATCGAACCGCGCTGGACGCGCGGTTCGATCCGAGGTCGCCGTTTGGCACAATTAAAGCTTACGGGTCAAAATATCGGGACTTAATATATTATCCTGTGTATATAATGTATGCAATTATATAGAATATAGTTGTTAACATTTTCATTAGAAATCAGAAATAGTATTAATAAAACTGAACTATCTAAAGAAGCTAAATAGAAAAATAACAAAAAATATATATACCTACACCTAAATAAAATAAAAACAACTACTGAAATATATTGTAAAGAAACAAAAACCTCGAACCATCAGCAATATATTATTACGCCTACACAGATTTCCATGTATGTTTGCTCTAAACTAAGCTGACACCTGGCCCATTGTGTGTCTTTTCTGGACACAAAGTGCTTGCGATGCCGGTCGGGTGTCTAGCTGGAAATGTGTCTTATTAGTTGCCTTTGAGAATGAAATGAGATATGGCCTCGTAGCTCTTAATTTACTTTTCTTGGGTATCATAGAAAATTATATTTATGAAGAATAACTTATATACCTAAAAAGTACAGATTTTATCTACTTCTACTACTAACGTAAACCATATAGTAATATTTGTACCTGTGACGTGGTCGAGTGGAATGAGTAGTCATGCTCACTAAAATGTCCAGACATGTGGCGGCGCGGTGGGTGGGTCATTGGGCTCCCTAAAATATGGTCAAGCGCAGTGATGGCTGGCCATCCGTTATACTCGTGAATGAGTGCTGCTGGTAGGGACTGGTCTGCTCTTATCACTACGACTGACTTAATCTTATTGCATATTTATATTTGACCCAAAAAATTAGTGCTGGTTGGTAGTTTGTATTCACACGTTTCAACTTCTAAATGTAAACTTACAAGGATTATTTAAAAGAGCAACACACAAGTTTCTTGGTCGTTCTTCTTGTGATGAGACAGCTTTCCGAACGAGAGGTAGATAAAAATGAAAATTGTTATGACTATTCAAAAGTGCTTAAATTAAGTTTATTTGAATAATTTCATTCATTCATAATTTAAGAGCTACGCTCTTGTCGGTGGAGCTCTTAATAAATGATTTTCTATTCTATTCTATTCTAAACAATTTCAAAATACAAACCCCAAATAAAATACGGGTATCCAATTTCAAAAACAAAATATCTTTATTCATGTAGGTCTATTAGAAGTTCTTACGATATGTCAAATCTACCGTTAGTTCGGAGTGCTTTCAGGAATTTTATTTAAGACACTTATATAAAATCTTAACAAATTAAGCCAGCTGCCAGTTCTTCTTAATTGGAGAAGAACTGACAACAAACTAAGCTCGTATTTTTTTCAAATAAAAGTGTACATGTTTACAGTGATACAGATTCATTTTTAAATGGAAAGGAAGAATAGACTGATCACCGGCATATGCTATTGCAATTTTGTCAAAAGCAAAAGTCTAATCAACG